GTTTGATAACAGAAACTAAATAAACAGATAACCACTTAGCTGTGAGAACACAGGTACACATAAATATCAAGACAAACACCAAACCAGTATCACTGCCTAGTCACTTCACAAAGATATTTTGAGCAACTTTTGGCCTTAGCATCGGAAACAAGCTAGTGTTGTCAGACTGCAGCATCACAATAATATGAGAGATGCGCTACAGAGTTTTACTCTAACCGTCACTATCTTAGCTTAGCGGTTACTTTTTTTCATAAGTCAAATAAAACATAAATCAGGCAGGGGTAATTGCTGCCAAGCAGAAATGTGGCTAACTCTGCATCAGATTTGAAGCCTTTCAGGTCCTGTAGCTCCCTTCACCTCTGAAGAACCACTCCATTTTTTGTTCTTTCTTTTTAGCTTGCTGTTTACTTGTCTTTGTTGTGTATGCTGCTGTTGGCTAAGGCGGGATGGGCAGTTTTTTACCTGCTGGTGGTTGTTTATCCATCAGTGCCTTTGCGTTGTCTGAGACAATTGTCCTGGCTCTGATTGGTTGTTTTAATTTGGGTGCCGTTGATTATTTCAAATGGCCATAGGAACACTAGGTGGAGACAGAAGAGCCTGATTCTTTTTTTTTTTTGTACTACTTCTCAATAATGACAGTTATTTTTGTACGAGTTACCTGCTGCAGCTTTTAAGCAAATGGCTTCAAATGAAAGAAAAATGCTTTTACCGGCACACAGCATGGGTCTTACGAAAACAACAAATTTCAAAAAACTTTTCACTGGTGTTACACCTGTCAGTGCCGTTTGTCTTCATTTGGGAGCTGCTAAGTATTGATAGCTAAGAAGCAAGATTGCTAATCAGCCAATCAGGCCACTTTATACTTTAATAGTTTTATGCAGTGAACAAAAAAGGCAGCTAAATTGTTAATCGCAGTTATTTAGATGGCAGTTTGTGGTCAGCTAGTATTTCATGAAGAACTGCTTTACATCTCAGTGTCCACTTGTAATCAGATCACTAAAAACAATGGTTTATACCATATGCGATTGGGGCCACAGTGTGTAAGCTGAGTAGAAAGTGTAGTCTTTACTCAAACTTGAATCATTTTGGTGACATTCCAAATATCAAAGCAGTATTTAATGTACAGCAGTTAGGGTTGAAGAATTATTCTACTTACCAGAGTAGTACCAAAGTTTTACAAATGCTTGCTTACCTGTGTGCATTTGTTGGTCTTAAAAGGGAATTACACTAATGTTTCACAATTTCTGCCTAATTCAGTCATCGAGATGTAAAAAAAGAGTTCATTTAGAGTGGTTTGATTAGAAATGATTAATTGTGCAAATCTGTTAGAAATAAAGATTCTGTGCATGTACGTTTTTCATTCATCAAGGTACACAAACAGTGTAAATGTACAACAGTGTTTTTAAGGTACAATTATGTACCTTAAATACGTTTTTCCAGGTAAAAAGTACATATTGGTACCTTTTCATAACCTGATGTTTTAAAACAGAGCAATAAAATAAAAAGCCTGGAGACGAGACTGGGTGTGTGGAGTCAATACAACTTAGAAAATATAATTTCAATGAATTATGGTACAGTTATGATCCCTGACTAAAGGTACTGAGATGTACCCTTGAGCGGACCACCTCAGTGACAGTTTACTACGTTTATTTCTGAGAGTGTAGAGAAACTTAGATTTCTTTATAGTGGTGGTGTCAAAAAGTATGAGGTTTTCTTCCAACAACAGTGATATGTAATAGTGAAATCTGAAAATTGTTTTCTTTGGGAACTATTTTAACTCCAAGCAGTGCCACAGATTTTATCTTCATAGTTGCAAGATAACCTTCAGATATCTATCCCCATAATTCTGAAAACCTGCATGATAAAAGCAGCCACCTTCATTAAATAACACAGTGATGTATGAATTCTGTTTGTCATGGAATGAATATATTAGATTCCAGTCTGAAAGAACATCTTTGGCACTAGGGCTTTAGCACTATTGGTAGCGTTCTGTGCCCGAGTCTGCTCGTGTGGGGGAATAGGTCACTGGGTTCCCTGTGCTTTGCATGCTGGTGAGGGATGAGAGAATGACAGAATGGCACACTGGGGTAAAATGTCGGGATAAAGCTCAGCTCGACAGTCAGTGTGTGTCTGAGTCTGGAAAGAAACATTTCCACAGAGGTCATCTACTGGACTCTGCTGGTAACTTGACCCATGCGGTGGCTGATGGAAAAAGTCGTTCTCTAAGGCAATCTGGATGCGAGCTGAAAAAGACAGAGCATGGGGGTTGGAAGGTTTTGGCTTGAGAGAGATCGTGGATGTGGGTGAGTTTGGGGGATGGCTGGACAGAGTATTAGGCAAGGGTGAGAGTGAATGAGCGGTGGGCTACAGAATCTGGTCGACGAGTCTGGGGGCCGCGGCGGGCTGCCAGGAGCCCTACCTGCACATCCCATCTGTTCCAGCTGATCGCCTCTTCTATTCTACAGCAGCATCACACAGTTCAGCTTCCCCTTTGAAGGATTAGTTCAGTGAAAAGTGAACACAAGTTACACTGTTTTCTTTATATCTCAAATGTACCTAAGATACGTTTGATGTCAGAAGTTGCCTTCTTTAGTTTGGCGCTGGAGCTGAGACTGAGGTGTAAAGTTATAAAGGCACCGGTTTGCATTGTAAAAACTTCAAATAAAAATCTATAGGAATAAACACACTTCAGACTTTAACGTGGCTCTTACTACTCTTTTCAGCTGTGACGTACTGCTACATAACTGTGAGGTGATGCCAAATAGGAGGGACTTGGCTCCAAACAGTTTGGTCTTAACTCCAGATGGGTTTGCGTTCTGTTGAATGCCTTCTTATTGGTGTAATACCAATGTGTGTAAAGAGGCTTTAGTGGGTCCTGCATGCTTTCTAACGTTTTAAACGGCTCTACCTGATATCTCAGTGCTACTAATCTAAACAATACTTTTTCACACAACATAAAACGTCTTGCCTGATATAGCAGATTTTATTTCTGATGTAAAACTTAATCATGACAGATCTTTTCTATTTTTATTGGGATCCAGCAACATTAAAGTGAAGAACACGTCTGGAGGTTGGATGGCCCGATGAAGCCATTTCTCTTTTGATAGTGTAATGGTCTGATGAGCCCATGTTTTTGGTAACTAATTGACATGAATGGTGAGAATGCCTTTGTTGACTGAGGTTAAATGATTGGTAAATTCAATTAAATGATATAAAAACAGTCGTTTGTGATGAATACATGAGAAAAGTATTGGCATCACTGACATTCACAGCGCTCAGACCCCGAGCTACAAGTAATGATATTATTGCTCTTGACTTTTAGACAGTTATCTTGAAATCTTCAGAGAAATGTTTAATTAGACCACGATGTGGGGCAAACTCAGATCTAGCCAACTAGTTTAACTGCACATATTAAGGATCCGGTGGACATTGATCTCTCTGTTTTCAATGCACACAAGATCAAAAATAAACAGTTTTTAGTGTTATCAGTAGCCCACAGGAACACCAAACCCAGCATCACAGAAAACCCACTGGACTTATTAACAACTAATAGCAAAGCACTCTGAGTTATGCGCCGTGTTGTTGTAAGCATTCAGCAGCATCACACTCCATAGCACAGGGGGGCCTGTGGCGATCACCCCCCTGAAATCTTTATTGGACCCCTCATATAGATATTAACACATTTGTACACACAGGATTTCACAGAAAGAGCCAGTCCAACAACATATCAACAGTCCTGATGTCTGTTTATCTGCCTCTTATTCATAATGCATCTCATCCGTGAAAACCATTTTGAAACAGACCCTAAACCACCTGCCACATGATATTCATTACTTTACATGATTTTAAAATCCTAAATACGTAATCTAATCTACATTAACATTCAAGTAATGTTAGGTGATAGTAGATGGAGCAAATGGCTTGTTTGAGGCATAATAGCAAATAAACAAGCAAATTCCGTTGTCATTTTTTTAAATTGAAAGTAATTATTATATGGGGGTCCCAGATCCTGGTTACACCATTGATACTTTTATCTATAAAATGGACAAAAGTATGTCATAAAGCTTTGTCATAAAACAGTCAGTATGGTGTTATTTGGTAGGAGGTACGCTTCCATTACTTGTTAGCTATATTTGCAATGATTTCATGAAGGCTCAGTAGATTGAGTCCAGTATTAGCTGTAGACTGAAAATGATAATTATGTGCAGTGGTTTCTTCAGTGTTACTTTAAAAAAGTGTTTGTGGTAGACCAGATGTGTCCAATAGAGAGAGCCGAGAAACAGAGAAGAATTTTAGATATAGATGGTGAAATGAGAAGGTTTGAACTTTATCTGCCTGGTCTGTGCACTGAGGTATAAGCCTGAACTCAGACTCTAAAGTGTTGCCCACAGATCTGTCCCACTGATGCCAGAAAAAGAAAAATGCCTTAAAAAAAAAATTTGAGTGAAACCGAAAGTCTTGGCATAATTTGACTTTAATTTAATCATCAATGAGTACATGAATTTTTTCATATTTATTATACATTATATTGTCTAGAATTTAATTTATTGCTTACTTTTTATTTCTGAGCTAAATGCACTGTTTGACCAAATTTGCAAGAGTACATTTGTCACAATTTGACTCGCTTTAACTCATATTTTGAGTGTCTTTCTCGGGCTCCTCATGCCTGCGCCCAGGTCTTAATTTGGGGTTTCCTAAGGCAGGGTTATCACTCTTGCACCCTAAGCAGTCTTCACTTGGCTATTCCTGCTGTTGCTGCTTTTATCTGCTTCAGTTTCGTGGTAAATGGTCCTGCTGGACAGTGTGCATGGACGTCTCAGAGGTTGGTTTTTTTCTTTCTGCAGTGCAGCCCTTGGCAAGTATCTTTTGTGTCAGCTGTCTGGTAAAAAGGGAGAAGTTGACACTCCTAGCGAGATGTCGAACCAAGAAAGCTGCAGCTGAAGGTGTGGCGGATGTGCAGGTATTTTTAGGTGTTCAGCCCTTTTGATAAAAAAGGCGCTGCTGTCCGAAAGGTCCGGTCCTCGTCATCATCATCTTCCAGCCCGAAGAGCGAGTGTCCATGTGTGATTTACATAGAATTAAATATGAATTGCAGTTTTGCTTATATACACCATAAATTTAAAGTTTGTCAACAGTTTGTGTGCTGCTTCCAAAGCTCAGCAAGTCCCAAGAGCTTCATCCTCCTCATATTAACTTCTCAGGGCAGTTTTTCTCTCTCTGTCTTTGCTCTGTAAAGAGAGAAAACACTTACATTAGATTGAATAAGAGAAAAATACTGTACTTAAAATTGTAAACATCTGCTCACTTAGATTTTTTTCCTTTCCTTTCTTTTTTCCCTCTTCACTCATGATGACGTTCATCTCTCAGATACATGCTGCCCCACACACGCACTTGCGCACATACCGCAGGCAGAGCCGTGGGCATTAGGGCCTGGTGTTTTTCTGGGCTCACCTTACACTTTGTGGTAGCAGACTCGCGCGCACGCACGCACACACACACACACGCCTGGCTCACATTTCCCTGTTTGCTTTGCTGTGAGCAGCAGCAGCAGATAGAATGGCATCATTTTCAGTGCTGTGTTCTGACACAGGTGGAGATTTAGTCAAAACACTCAAGCCGTAATTGATGAAGTCAGACACACTCTCACTTACAAACATGCCTCATGTCTCTCTCTCTCTCTCTCTCTCTTCCTCTCTCTCCCTCTCTCTTCCTCTCTCTCCCTCTCTCTCTCTGTTTTCTCTTTCTCTCTGTCTTCATTCTTTCTCTCTTTCTTTCTATTTATTTCTTTTCCTTCATTTTCTTTCTTTCCTTTTCTCCCTCTCTCTTGCTTTCTGTTTCCTTTTCTCAGTCACATTTGTTTTCTTTCTTTCTCTCTTTCTCACATTTTCTCTTTTTCCTTTTGTTTCTCTCTTTTACTTTCTTTTTCTTTCTTTCTCTCTCTCTCTCTCTCCTTCCTTTCTTCCTTCTTTCTCGTTCATTTCTCTCTTTCTTACTTCACCCCTCTTTCTTCCTCTCTCCCTCTGTCTATAAAAGTAGGACTGATATTGATATTAGTCACTGATGTGGGTACTCGATGGTAAGTGTTTATACTGGGCTTCCTTAAGGTGTACTTTGTAAATGGTTAAAGACACACACAATCGGAATGTGTTATTTATTTATATTTAATCTGTTTTTCATTTCAATAAATTCTTATTGCCCAGAAAAAAATCTTTACATATATTTTTCTCTTGTTCCTTTTATATGTATATTCAGACTTTTGCTCAGTACTGTATGTGTGTGTGCATATATGTATATTTACCCCCCTCCTTTTAAAGTCAGTGCCACTTTTAAGTCTCCAGCACTGTGACCCTGGGGATCACTTGCAGCAAACTAATAGGATTTCGTCTACATTTGTTTTTCATATCCTGCCTAACACGCTGTAAAGAAGCAGTTTTGCTGAAGTCTGAGCTCCAGTGCCCAGATTGATTATGCTCCTGCCTGCTCTTAAGTCTTTAGCGCCTTTTATTTCTAACTGCTGTAAGCCTTTCGTTGCAGAGCACATCTTAAATTTTAAATTGCTGCGCCAACATAAGGACATTTAGCCCTGTTTTTCTCTTTCCTTTAGCTGTCACCTTAGACTTGAGACACAATGCAAATATTTGGGTTCACCCCAGGTTGACATGGAATGGTGGCAGCTTGGTAGATTACAGTGAAGGGGTTTGTCCATGTGTGAGTTCCAAGTTGTAACTCTAGCCTTCAGCGGTGTCTGAACAGATTATTGAAAGCAGCTTTCAGCTTTCTTTTGCAAAGTGTTTTATTGTCATATTTTGATATTAGGGTTACTCACTTAAGTACTTAGGGCTGCACAATGATATTGGAATCACATGAGTATCGCCAGATAATTGCTTTGTAATAAATATATCGGCATCAGACAGATATTCAGATTTGACTGATATTTTGAACTCAGACTTGATAAAGTATTTATCGTACTCCAGAAGAGCAAAGTGTTTAAGCCATACTGGGTTTCTGTGCTAAAATGTCTGTGTTTTATTCACTTTGCTGCATTTGTGACCTTATTGAAACGGATGTGACATTTCTCTGTAATGTTAATCCAAGTAGACTTCGTCCTAATTTCCACAGTTTATAAATGTTTCTGTATCAGCTTCTACAGATATCTGATATTCCCAGATCAGAGCATCCCTAGCCCATCAACTGGCCCAAAGATTTGCCCAGATGTAGCACTGTTTTGTGTTTATATGTGACTGGATGTCCTCTGTGTACTTTAAAAACTTAAGACTCAGAAACATTATAAGAAAGTTTCCTTACATTATATTTTTTTATATATTTTATTTTTGTGTAGCTTTGGACTGGATGTTGAGTTGCACTGCCATACTTGCATTGCTTATGCCAAGATCACTGTGGAAAGGTGCTGGTTAAGTTCAGTGCATGTGTATACATAATAATTATTTCATGATGTGTCAGGTGTTTGTTTCTGTTAGTGTGAACAAACGCTCTGATCTCTTCTATGTGCTGGTAATGAAGGTGCCCTCAACAGTTATACAGAAAGCATGGGCAGCGTTGTGGACGCACAGCTCTGGGGCCTGCTCCTCACTCAATAAGCCACCTGCTTAGCCACCTATAACTCTACAAGAGAAGCGTGACGAGGTACCTGAGCTGCATGCACGTATAGGCCATTTTAAACGTGCTCTGTCTCAACAGACTCGCCCCCGCTCCTTCTCCCTGCACGCCAGCCCTCCCTCCTGTGCGTCCGGTTGAGCAATCCCCCTGCCATCTTCTTCTGAAGCCCCTGTCCTCACCTGCTAAAGCTATTATACCGATATTTCATGTTGCAAGAAGAGAGCTCACGTCTAATGACCTGTGTGGCTCTGCAGGGAAAGGACAGGAATATGCATTCAAAAAAATGAAAAATGGAAAAAAGCTTGTTTCCGTCAGTTAGTTCTTCAGGCATATTAAGAAGCGCAGTGTTGTTGTTTGTTATTTGCGCATTCATATATTTTGGTATTCATCCTCCTATCAAGCTGACATATGTACTATAACGTTGAGGCAGGGGAGACTTAGAGTTTTGTCTGAGTCTTGAGTTAAATATTTGCCAGATGTATGGTTTTCTGGGGAAGAAATTTTATAGTAAAATTTATTTTCCCCCACATGCACAAATCAGTTCTTACCCTTGACTTACGCACAACTAACACAGTGCCCGACTGCCTGTGTTTCATTTAATCTGCCACTCTTGAGTTTGTTGGTGGTTCCCGAAGACCTCTCTGTCTCTTTTGTCTCTGATTATGGACATTTAAATGTTGGCAACAGCCAAATGTTAGAGTTTCGTCCTGCCTCAAAGTGTTTTCTTTTGGGCATGTTTTTCCTCCCTCTTTCTTTAGCAACAATAAAACAGTGAGTCTTGGCCGAGCAGTGCTTTTCACGGCATAATGAGCGCTAAGCAGGGGTGAAGAGCCGAGTGCGGTTTGGAGGGAGCCCTCACGCCCCTTAAACCCTACTACAAAGAGAGGCGCAATCTGGTTTAAATATTGCTCGAGCACTGAAACACAGTTCCTGAATTCTACCTTCAAGGCCTAAATACTCTTATTTTATTTGTATGTGGAAGGATTCGGATTTATTAGAGTCATGAGACTCTTGCCAGCAACGTGTACCTTCTTTTGGTGACTTTGAACACTTTTTTTTATGTAGTTTTCCTTGCAAATTGTACTTTGTTGGGTTGGTGAATACTGTGTTGGTTTCTTAAATGATGCCCCACAAATTTCTTGCGTGCATGCTGTGCTTTGTCGGGGATTTGAGACGATCAGTGATCGGAACATTGTGGTTTCTCTTTTTTATGTGGGCCACATATTAAAGGACGGATGAAGCATTTCCACTGTTAAACTGTTCCTGAAAACTGGGCTGAGGGTTCTTTGGAATATACCAGATTCCTTCTGCAAGTTCAGCTGATCAGCAGTTATCAGTTTGAGACTAGAGCTCACTTTTTATTTCATTTATTATTTCACATTTTCACACAGTTCATGGTACCCCATGACTAAGATTTATCTCTGGGCTGAGGGCTGGAGCAGGTTGTGTGTTTTGCTTGACAGAGTTATTAATTGGGCAGTGAGGAAGAACCTTAGAACAACACAGGATGTGAGTGTAAATCGCTCAGGATGGTGCTGTGCTGCTTGGCGGAAGAGACGGGGACAGATGTTCCCAGAATGCTTTGGGCCTGATATTTAGATCACGGAACATTTACATTTGCATATTTATGTCTCCCATTTGGCCATTTGTCATAAGTACACATATTTTAATTCAGCAGGATACCGAGTGTCTGCATCAGTACCATTTCCCTGCTACTTTAGCCTTCTGTAGCCTTTCCTATTTCGATATCTGCTGTTCATTGAATTCAGTAGGGTCATTTTTTTTTCATGAACTGGATTTTCTGGATGAGCGTCAAGTTTTTGAGGAGTAAAATGCACATTGTGGTGATGATATACTGAAGCAGAATATGTTCCAACTTCATGGCTGACTCTAATTGTCTCAGGCGCATGTTATATTTCACATCTGACGGCTCTTTGCTGCACAAGTTTAAATTACAGTTTTCCCCTCTGTTTTTGGTTTTGGTGTTATTGTATTCCTTATGGCCGGGGTGTGATTTACGGTTTTATTTTTAATGCGCCGTGGTGTTGGCTTTACGGGCTAAGGTCAGCGCAGTCACTCTCTGAGGACCAGCTGGGGGGGAAGACAGATGATGTGTTTGTATACCGCCTGACAGTCTCTTGTTGATCGGATACTTTCCGTTTGCCTGCAGCTAATCTCATCTTTTCTTACAACCATCTATGAAGTAATGGTAGCAGCATAAAGATACAGTGCATGATATAAAGGGACACATGGATAGAGTTATAACTCAGGCTGGGAAATGAAATATTGGAAAACCTGAATTTACTGTCAAAGTTTATTGAGGTGGATTATAGATTGGACATGGTAGCTCTATGGATGGCAATGACGATATCTGTCGTTGGAAAGACTTTTCTGTCTGTTAATCAGTAATTGTAATGTTGTTTTCGACCTTAGCCATCGAGATTCTTACCTTTTAGTGCTTAACACTGAAAATTTGTTTATTTTAAAATAAATCATGCAAGCTTTGTATGTTTTCAACTGACATTCAATACAATACGTTCATGTTTGCCCTCCATGACCTTATTCAGAGGGAAGAGTCATTTGCTTTGCATTTCCCTACCACTTCAAACCAAATTCATTCAGACGCCTGGGTAAGTATCGCCCAACTGATGCTTTTATTTGAATTCAACAGATTTAAAATTCAGACAATGGAAAAATGTCCCAGACGGCCATGTTTGCCACTCACCATTTTCCTCTGGTTGCTTAGGCAGAAAGTGCAGATCTGTTTGGGCTGCGAGTTCTCAGCGTCTCGTCCAGGCGACCCATGGTGGTGGTAATAGGAGGCCGAGGGTCCACTGCTGTGGCACGGCTGCCCGTCCCCGCAGCCCTCGCCTACCAGCAGCACGTTGCCCAGGTGTGAGATGTAGCTGGAGGCGAGGCGGAGAGTCTCAATCTTTGACAGCTTTCTGTCGGCCGGCTCGGTCGGGATCAGAGTCCTGAGAGCGGTGAAGGCCGTGTTGACGCTGTTGGTGCGGTCCCGCTCCCTTGCATTGGCTGCGTTACGCTGCCGACCTTCACCCACCATAGGACCACTTCCCGTGCCCGATGGCACTACCCCGAGGAGCCCTCCTCCACCCCCTCCGCTGCCTGGCTTCCGCTTCCTGCTGCCCACTTTGAGCTCGTAACTGGAGGTGTCCAGGCGGAAGGAGCGGTCGTCAGAGCCCGAGCTCTCACTGCCATTCTCGTCGTCCTCGGACATCATGGAGATCTCGGAGTAGAGGTAGCGGCTCGGAGCTGGGCGTACCATCGCAAATGACATCTTTTACCAGGCGTAGGAACTTCTAGAACTGTCTTTGGCTTAGAGTTCCACAGTCACACATTCATGGATCACGCAGTATGGGGAACTGCAAGGCATGCAGGGTTGTGACTTACTTGCCACACATCCTAGTCCTCCTGAGCATGGGTTGTGCTCCACTGCGGCATGACTTTGGCATTAAAGTCCTGTGTAGCAACACGAAAATGTCCTTCTCTGCTCCTTTTTACTAGCTGTTCCAGAGATGATAACTATATCTCCTAGTCTTTGTAGGGTTGCCTTTCCTCACATTCACTTGGCTTGACTTTCTCTGTCTGAGATCTCGGATTCACAACCTCTGTTTCTTCATGGCTTGGTGCTTCAGTGTGCCTCTCATTGCCTCAGCAGTAAGCTCTCTCCCTCTGAGCTGAGCTCCACGTGTGGTTTCAGTCTGAGCGATTCAGCATGGTTGGGCTTTATAGACTGTGGGAGTGTCTGGGGTGAATACACCCCTCCTCTCCGTGTCTCGCTCTCTCTATCCCTCTCCTTCACTGCTTATGCAAATATCCCAGCTGGCTGCACCATGGAGGCAAGCAACAAAGTGGAGCTATCAGCTCCTTTGCTACGATTAGCTCCCTCGTTTTTTCGCTATCAAATTCATCACAATCTCTCTTTCTCCTTCTTGTTTCACATTATTTTCTGTCTGCAAGAAACATACAGTTAAGTGTTACTTTAGGGAGAATTTTTTCATGGTGACTCAGTAGCTGTAGGACAGGTGGAGATGAGTCTTTGGTATCTCCCTTCCATGTGTTTCTACCAACCTTATACTGGCATGGTTTAAACATGCTTTTTGAGGCAAAATCCTGTCCTAGTGGGCCATAAGTCAGAAGTTAGCACCTGTTTCTCTCTGAATCACCCATGACAAAGTGTGTAATTGTCAAAGTATTTTTAAGACCCTGTTAGGTTTACCATGAAATGTATGTACAGTGACTCCGATGTTGAGTTAGTTGGAGACCTATTTTTTACTTGAAGATGAGTCATTTGAACTTGCTTGGCAGTCTCTGAATGTTATGGGAAGCTCCAGAGAAACTCTTTGTTCTGTGAGAATTACAGATGTTTAGTTTGCTTTATATAGATCACTCCATACTTCTGTCATGAATTTTAAGAAGTATTAAGGCCCCGTATTATGAAAAATTGAATTTCATTTATTTTTATTTAAATAAGAGTTTAATGTGGTATATAAACAATTTCAATTTCAAAGCATGCCATTCACTCCCCATTCCACATATTCCATATGTGGAAACTAAGCTGCTGAAACAGCCTGTTTTGTTTTTGTTTTTGAGATGTTACAAAAATCAACACCTTAGTGTTTGTTTTTGTGACATAAAAACACACAACCTTTATAAGGCAACCACAGGGGGGAAAAGAAAAATACAAGGAAAATGCAGGATACAGGCTCTCAACCATCAATGACCAGAGAGAAGGCTACAGCGACCAAAAATATAAAAATCCAAAAATTGAAGTCAAATTGAAGGTAGGCTTGTCACAATTATTACATAATCACCTGATCACAATAATTTAAGATGATCACAATTATTGAAGCTGACTGCAAACTGACTGATTTTTTTTTTTTTTTTGCAGTTGTTAGATTTCAGTCTTATGCTGCAACAAACCAAATGTGTATGGGATGTGGTGCATTCAGGCAAAAAAAAATGTGAATAAAAGAAAGAAGTAAATGCATTCATAGAACTTATGGAAACAAAAGTTCTAACTTCTAACTTACTGCTCTAACATGTTTAGCGGGCAACACAGTGTAATGATAATTTATTAGCTATGTAGCTACTTCTGGTGCTTTTAGCACTTATCCTGGCAGAACAAATTAATTTTTTGCCTATATTTTCACCGTCTTGAACATTTAGCTTTGCTTAGCTCTACGCTTAATTCTGCATAACTATAGACATTTGTGAGACTGTATTGATTTGACCGTACAACCAGTGTTAGCTGCTAAGTAAACATATCTAGCAAGTAAGGGCGCTAATTAGACAATTTGGACACTTCAGACTTGTATTTTAATAGTTGCAAATAATGAACAAGACAATTAAATTGGTAATCACAGTTATTTATATAACAGTTAATCAGCATCTAAAATTTCATGAGAGTTGCGTCATAATTTAATATAAATAATTATATGATTTAACACAATAAAATTGTGAAATAATTAGGTTACAACTCTTTTGTAGAATTTCGTCAAACTGATGTTTTTGTTGTAGTAGAAATGCAGGCTACACTGGCAGGATGCAGCGAGTCAAATTTGCGCATGCAGTTTTTTCTGATCGCCGTCACCATCTCTGTAGTCACCATTGCTTAAAGTTCCCATTCTCTTGCAGAAAAGGGATGATACTGCATTTGTCCTTTTGTTTAATGAATAAGTAGATTATAAGCATACCTGTATAGTTGGGCACTGTGGGAAATGGTGCGTTGCCTTTGTACAACAGCTCTAATAGTTTTGATATATCTGCTTTCACCCTGATGCCTGCCAAGGTGGCCATGAGCAGATCTTTTAGCCCCTTTTAGATTACTCTTTTTTTTAAATCTTTTACCATGTTTCCCTTCATTAGGATTAGTAGCCTTAGAAAACAGAAGTTCTCACAGTTAAGTGACATTACTCGGGACTCTAAAGGTCTTTTACTTAATGTGATCACTTTGTAATTGAATACAGGGTGAGGTCCAGAAGAACCTTGAACATGCGACATAACCATTTTTAGAAGTGGAGTACCCAAAGCCCAACCCAAAGAGATTCAAAGTGCTGTGTAAAGCAATATCTGAAGTCAAACTTCATTTGCAGACAGTCCTTTCGTGCAATTTGGGGTCAAGTCCTGATGTCAGCATGCTCTCTGAATTTCTGGAAAATATTAAGGTATAAATAATGGATAGCCATTCCCTCCCTTCAGTATGCTCAAGATTCAAATTTTTAACATGTAAGGTCAACCCTATTCAAGACTGTTTAATGATGTGGTTTTGTACCATCTCTTTAAAATGATGGCTTGAGATTGACTTGAGATGAAGATGATAAAAAAAGGCTCAAAAGCTCAGAAGTTCTGAGGGTGCTGTAAATCCCTTTAAATGGCGACTTCATGTTTAGTCTGTCCTGAACCATAGCCTCATAATGAGCGATGTGAGCTGTAGTCAGACAGGTCAGCCAGAAAGGGTAGCTCATTTCCCAAAAGGCTCAAGAGCTCCCCAATACCCTCAGTGATCACGAGCACCAGTGGAGATAGAGAGTGCCTGTGTCTCATCTCCTGGTGTTCTTCTTTTCCTTTTTTAGTAATTTGAATCCATTGTGAGTCAGTCTCCTTAGATGTCTGAATGTCATCTGCCCAGTGAAATCTTTATATTTGTGTAAATCTTTAGTATGAGCGAACACATTTAAGTGTCTTTCTTTTAAGTATTTTGGGGGCGGGGGAGAAAAGTATGCTTTCATATGCGTTTCTCGTTTTCATTAATAAAAACAGGTTTCCTAATGGCTGCTACAAGCACAGAGATTTATACTGCGCTCTGAGTGGGAGAGGACTCCTTAACTTTATCCTAATAAAAAGGATTTTTGACTCACTTTACTAGGAGCAATAAATCATTAGTCAATTTTTTAACACAATTGTACCAAACTAATGTTTTCCTCATGTTGAACTGTGTACAATTATCCTGTTTCGAGCAGACTTTTCCTCTTTCAGGGAAATTGGAATAAAATCTGAAGTTGTCTTATTTTTTATTTCCTCATGAAACCAATTTTAAATCCGAATTGCTTTACCATTCTCTTCCCGGGTCAGTTCTGTGACCAGGCTAAGAAGTATTGGTTGTCTGTGCACCTATCTTTAGAGGGGCATTTAATTGTGTTTAGTTTATTGTGGAAAGCAGTGAGAGAGACTTTTTTTTTTTGTTTTGTTTTCAATTAAAGAACAATTTCTTGTGTATTTGTATCTTGCAGTGTTTTTATTTATTTTGGGGGGAGGAAAAGATGTCTACAGCTCCCACTAAAAAGGTTTCCAGAAAGTGTTGTCTTTAATCATGTAGTTTTGATTCCATAATGTCTAAATCTAATATGTGGCATGATGGAATGTCTTGAATTGGAATGAGGCGTTACCTTTTTATTTATATCATGATTTACGATATTGTCACAATGTTGCAGTATAAATTTAAAAAAAGAATTTAAAAAAACATTTCGTGTGCAATATTTACAATAAAGCAATCTTTAGAATAAAAAAGAACAAGCTGTCCATGTAATACTGTGTATCATTATTACAGGACTATTTGCAGTCAGGGCTGACGTTGAGAGCCCTGCCATAGAACACAGACCCCTACCAAGAGCTGCAAGGCTGCTCAAACATAAAATACAGCATGGACAAGCTACTAGTACCTGTGCTTTACCAGCATAAGAATGGCATATACTGCACTGTATCATATAAACACCATTCATTATATAACAGTGCTTAATGTGGAGACCTTTATTTTAATAGCAGCCTCTGTTTATCAAACACATTCATGACAAGAATGCTAATTTCTGCTCATAGGAAAATGAGGTTCTCCGGTATATCATGGCAGCAAGCTAACAGACATTTAGGTAACCTTTTTGTATGCTGTAGTTTTACATTGAATTATTCAGTAAAGATTTCCAACACTGAACAACTGGATTTGCCCTGTTGGCTCAGTCTATCCAGCTGCTTAGGTTAACGCATAAAATTTAAACTAAATTACAGTGATGGCGTTCGAGTGTTGACCATAACAGTACCGCACATGTTCAATATTGCAGTGTACTGAATTAATTACCGTTTTACTTTTGGTGCAGGGCTTAACTACATGAAGGATGTCGTGCCTTGAATTGAGAAAAGCTGTATTGCCACTTCAGTAGCAACTTTTTTTATTAACTTAATTAAAGCAATTCAGTTAATATGACAAATATTGTCCTCTTTCATTTTCAAAACTGTGTTTGTTCTGCTGTTCCAAACAGTGAGGAGACCTTGAAACTAATATATTGCTCTCTCTGAGCTCTGTTCTTTATGACAACAGACTCAGTAATGCTCTTCAGGACTTCACTATTAAAGAGCAAATTTTGCCATGGCAGTCAATATATTAAAAGTGGAATCGGGTTGTAATATGACGACATTCATTAGAGCTAAGTGAGACCGCAGCGGCCCTCTTCTCAGACGAAACGTTTTGTTACCTCATAAAGCCTTGCGTCCGGGGTAACAAATGGCAATGCTTGTTATCATCCTGTCATAGAGGGTCCTGCCCACTCTTTTCCCTTAAAGCAGAACAAGAGGCTTCCAGCTGACAGTCATTACTTCTCCCCAGCGTTGCGCGACATCTAATCTACGCCCCCACACCCCCCCACCCCCCCACCCCAACCTGAGGAAAGCACTTTCTCAACCCCGTGCGTCTCCCCAGGCT